CTCCCAAAGTGGACTAGGCTCAAAACTCAGGGTGAGGTGACTCCCCTCAAACTTCGTCTCACCCTGACTCGAACTGGGCTCAGCCCAGCGGACCGACCGCTCGAGCGTGATTTTCAATCCTATAATGGTGCCCCTGTGTCTCGCCAAGGTCAGGAATACTTTCTGTTTTCTCCTTTGTGAGTTTTTAGAGAACCTTAGGTGTAGCTGTGAACGGTAGGAGTAGGGAAAAGTTGTCTGTCTGTCGGTCGCTGCGCTCACGCTTCCTGTCTCACCTTGCGGTGAAAGTTATCAGTGTCAGAAGCGTGTCCAACCGGAGTTTTCCTCACGAGTTTTCACGAAGAATGGTGTTTCCCTGAACTTTCCTGAAGCATGATGAACATCAGAGTGTTTTCAGTTTGTTTGCTGTGAGAGCGGACTTCTAGACGAAGTCCGGGGAACACCTGGGCCGTGTAGCAGAGTTGCCAGTGCAGAGAAGCCGTTAGGAGTCCTTAGGACTTACCTCGGAAGTGAGTGTGCTGAAGTCTCTGTCCGCGCCCCGTTTCACTTTGGCTCAAGACTTGCGCTGCGTGACAAGCGCGTGGTGAACAGTTGGTTGCGACGAAAGGTGTAAAAGTGCTGTTAGCTTTCACTGCTGTAGCCTTGCGTGACGTGGTCAGTCAGTCGGCTTGCACCTCCTTTTACTAAACCTAGAAGTGTGCCTCAAGGCGCGTTTGGGTTTTAACGCAAGCACAGCCCTCTCTTTCGATTCAGGCCGCAGGCCTGCTAAATAGTGCACTGTGGCGCGTGCCGCAGCTACCCACTGATCTAATGCCACATCTGCAAGGCTTCGACCGGATAAATCTATCGTGAGAAAAATTACCAGCTGCTCTATCTCTTAAAGGAGAGTCACTTTCCGTCGAGCGGTCGTGACATGCAGCGCCTTCTCGACAGCTGGCCGCGCTGAGCGGCGGCTAGCTCCTCTTACGTGACAGTCTGTCTTCATCAGCCGCTCGTGTGATCGACGACATACGTCGTTGCGTCGGTATTCTCCCTCGAGCATTCAGCAATTGGGTTCACACGGCTTGACGGCTTCTGCGTTGTCCGAGGCTGTGCTAAACTGAGTGGGGGCGGGCTCTCTGTCGATGCAGCCCCCGTTCGGTGCCGGCCACGATTGCCAGTGAGCTTGGGAATTGGATCTGGGTGCCCTGGTTGCCACGGAACACATGGAGTTAGTCGGTTCATCTCTGTCTGTGATCGCTTCCCCTTGTGGAAGCCGTTGCAACCGACGACATAGCGTCGTTGAGGTTTCCATCCTCCATGTCACTCCTGCTCTCAACACTTTTTGCACCAGCACCTGAGCTCTGATCTGGACTCTAGTGTGCACGCTCGAAACGGGCGATACATCGGGGCTGCTAAGGTTATATGAATCGAACAGGACCAGGCTAGGGTTTTGCAAAACAATTATTTTTGCACAGTTTTTGCAAATTTTTTGCACATTAATTTTGCGCAAAAATTTGCTTAAATTCTGGACTATATTTAATTTTGCAAATTTTTTGCATTCATTTTTTTTGTATTTTTTGGTTTTATAAAATGCAGAAATCCAACGATCCGGGTTTTTCCTATCAAATAGGCCAAGCCTCACATTTTGCACAAAATTTCGGGGCCGGTATCGGGATGGGTTCTTCGACAACTGTGCGAAAAAAATGTAATTGGGAGATCTTTGATCTGCTGACCAGATAAAAACCAAACGAAAAACACGAACACCCGAAATTTGTGGTTGCAAAGTTTTCTTCCTTGTAAATTTGTTTACAAAGACGGCTGGCGATGCGAGGGGTTTGATTTTGAAAGCTTCCCACATCGACAGAAGTTCTGATTTTTAGATTATTTGAAGGGCGGTCCGACACCAATGGTGTCGTTTTGGAAATTGTTCACATCCGACCATGCCCCACACTCCTACACTACAATGTCCTTCACTGGCCCTACACTTATGCCAAGGTCTTAGATTTGTTAAAGTCTTCTAGTTAGTTTGTTAGTTCGCGCCCGAAACATGCCCACGAAGTTCTTGGATCTCGGGATGTCAGAGGGGAGGAGGTACCATTCTTCTGAACAGCAGTAATAGCAGCTATAGCAGTAATTAGAGCCGAGGCCTGCTGAGTAGACACGGTGCCATAGATGTTATAATGCAGTTGGTTGACCATCCCTTATCGAATCTTGGAGTTTGCAGACTTGTGCTTGTACCGACGCTTGGTGCAGATCGCACCCTTGCAGTTCAGCACAGCACATCTCGAACGTTTGCGTGATTTTGTCGGCCCGAAGTTCCAAAGTTTTGATGAATGCAAGCTTCTCGGTGGCTGTTGGGCTGGAATTTGATTGAACCATCAATGTCATGTCAGCAAAGCCAGCCAGCAAAGCAGACCAAGGAGCATCAGCAGCCACTATTCGGACTTGCGGTTGTAGCTGTGTAGCTGTAGCTGCGTAAACTCCGTGCAGGTATAGAAGTGTAGATGGTAGACTCAATGTAGTGTAGTGTAGGCCCTGTAGACTGTAGACTGTAGACACTGTAGGCCCTGCCCATGGCCCATGGTCGAAGAACCGTAGCCGTAGACTGTAGACTGTAGACTGCGTAGACAGTGTAGTCAGTGTAGTCGCAGTCGAGTGTAGTCTTGTAGTCGTAGGCCCGTAGGCTTCGCAGACCTTGGAAACTTGGACCTTGGGCGGGTCTCGGCCAGGGCACAGGGCACAGTTCTGAAAGCTCAGTTCTGCGAATGCGAATGGCAAGCATGCTAGCTGGAAGCAGTTTGAATGTTTCTTGTGTCGTTGTAGGCCTCGTGTGCCATGTGCGATATGCTCGATGGTTTCACTTGGGATGAGGCCTTGGACGAAGAGCTGCAAAGCTTGAACAAGTTATCTCAAGAGATTTCAGATGCTGAGAATATCAGAACTCCAAGCTTCGGTTCACCTGATTCACCTGATTCTGGCAGTGCAATGCATCATGTGGACAGTGTGCACAGCGATTTGCCTGCTCTCCATGGGAGCACTTGGTGGGCAGCTGTTTTAGCCGCTGCAGTGCAGGATGTGCAAAGGTTAGCAGACGCATCGTTGCTTGCACCCAAGCCCGACCGTCTTTGTGTGGTGTCTGCTTGCAGCGGCTGCTGTGCTGAAAGCTTTGTGCTCAAGGCGGGCATTTGGGTTTCGTCAAGACCTCTGCGCAAGTCACAAGACCCAATTACCAAGTCCGTTCCATTTTCAGGGCCCCAAAACTCCCAAAACTAAGGCTCAGGCTAACTCTAGACTCTAGCCGGCTAGCGGCTAAGGCTCGTCCGGCCGCCCAGGTCCCAGGCTCGAGCAATTATCAAAAGTAAGTAGCATTATTTGTTATTTAGTGGCAGGTGATGTCCACTGATGAATGTTCGAAACCAGTTTCATTCCTTCGTCCTAGTAACTAGAACCTAGAATCGCCCGAGTCCGTCGTGGTAGCTGGTAGCTGCCCAGAATCTTGGTGTTAGGTCTCCTGAGTCTCCTGAGGCCCTAGAGCCCTAGCCGCCCCAACCCTTCGCAAGTACACAGGCCAGAATCCTCAATGGCTTGGGCCGCTGCCCGAAATTACTCCAGTTGTTTCAAGACAGCTCAAACAAAAAGGTAGTGTCTCCGAACATGCGCATTTGTGGCTTAGGGTTGTTTCGTGTTAGTGCAGGCCGGTGCAAGTAGGAAGCCAGCGTGGTTTTCAGTTTACAGTTCTTTCCTAGTTCGAATTCACATGCTTCATACATGTACTCAAGACTCAAGACGTCTGTGTTGTTTAGCAAGATCAACACCGAAACCCATGCATACTGAGAAATAAATCCAGTTTCCCGGGGTCGGTATCCATTTAAAGCCCCCGTGCTCAGCACCCAAACATGTTGAGAACGTATGAGCAGCTTTGTGCATCTATTCTATGCTGCTAGCCGGTAGACTCCGGTAGACTCCGGTAGACCCGGTAGCCCGTTGTAGTTGACTGCTGTAGGTCGTTGGTGGTAGGTCGTAGGGCTCATTCCCGACCAGAGTCCCAAGACAGAATGCTTCGCAGGCACTGGGTGTCGACTTCCGCCTTCACTCGGTCTCGGAGAGCAATGCTGTGTATCGAGATTTCGTTTTGGTCAATGCAGGCACGGAGAAGGTTGATCACATGTATGATTGCGTGCACAAGCAAGCAGAAGGCGAGGGTTTTTGCCTTGCTTGCACGGCTGCTGGCAGAGCATGCGCTGACACTTCGGCGCCAGAACTTGTGCATCTTCTGGTGTCAGGAACCCCTTGTAATCCTTTCTCAAAACAGAACTCTGGGAAAAGGTGGTCAACAGGTCATGTGAAAGGCCATGCAGGCTATGGTTTGACCATGCAATCGCTGATGGGTTTGTACAAGAAATATTCACCCCTCATTGGCGTCATGGAGCAAGTCTGTGGCTTCGACATGGCTTATGACTCCACGACCTCCGAGACACCCTACAAGAGGCCAGCTGAATCAGTTGGAGCAGTCAGTTGATTGGATGATGAAGCCGATTTACAATCAATCTAGAATCTACAATTTTAGTCTACCATCTACAAGCCCCGGCTGCAAACTACTGCTCGCAGTGTTAGTTATCATGTGCAATGTACATCACAGCGAGATAGAGAGAGAGAGAGAGAGAGAGAGAGAGAGAGAGAGAGAGAGAGAGAGAGAGAGAGAGAGAGAGAGAGAGAGAGAGAGAGAGAGAGAGAGAGAGAGAGAGAGAGAGAGAGAGAGAGAGAGAGAGAGAGAGAAGAGAGAGAGAGAGAGAGAGAGAGAGAGATGGCGATAGAGGGACAGGGATAGAGATAACGATAAAGACATAAAATGACAGAATATGATGGACACGAGTGAACTTGTGGGGCTGTTCTGTTAGTCACTGTTAGTGATGTTGCCATATTAGAAGGTCGTGCTTGCGCAAAGTTCAGACCACGGAAGGTTCAGATAATGGTAACGGCGGTAACGGGTAACGGTTCAGCCTGAGGGTGTGGGTACTGCAATGGCTATGGCGGCTATGGCTATGGCTATGGGTGCGGCTATGGCTATGGCTATCGGCTATGGATACGGCTATGGCTATGTCAATGTCTATCGTGTACGGTCAGGTCGGTAACGATTGGCGGTCACGGACGGCTACGGTTCAGCAGAACTTACCGGTAAGCGTGCCCGGCTTTGAGCACAAACGAGATCGGAAACCACTGAACAATGTTGGGGTAGTGTCTGTTAGTACTGTTGGTTTGTTGGTAGTGTGCGAGCTGCCAGGTTCCTTGAGGAGTTCGGAGCCGGTGATCTTGGTCCTGGGTACTACGTGGTCAAGCTTCGCCTGGATGCCAGCTTATGGCTCCTCATCTCGCGACCCAGGTGCGCCCCTCCGTGCCGACTTTCTGAGACTAATATAATTATGCAGCGTGCAAGTTTCCTGTAAGACACTGTAAGAACGGTGTGGCGTGGATCCATTGGAGGCCCTAAGTCCTAAGTGTGTTATGTGTGATTGGTTTGGGATTTTGGATTCGGAGCTAGCTAGCAGCTAGACTCCAAGAGTCAAAGGCTTTGGAAGGCGCCAACCTTTCCGTTTTAGGTCACACTGCATATCAATGAGTTAATGATCTCTGTATTTTAAGGGAACAGTATTCAGTAGCAGTAGCGTGCAGTGTGGGTTGGCAATGTGCAGTCTTCCAGAACTCAGCAGATTCAATAGTTCAATAGATGTGGGCAATGTTGGTAGCTGGCAGCTTCCGGGTTTGATTGTGACTAGTGACTAGTAACTAGTAATTGAGGCAAGCCGCAAGCCACTGTGTACGACTCAGTTTTCGTTGTGTTGACTGCCAGGGTCGTTAGTTACTGGTCATTACCAACGCTGCTAAGCCGCTACTAGTTACTAAGTAACAGTTACAGTTACTAGTCTAGGTAGCAGCTCCCTTGCGTTGCATCGAATGAATCTAATGTATTTCATGGACCGTGAAGCCCCGGAGCAGCGGAGCAATTCAGTATGGCCCCGTGTCGCACCTCACAGGGAGCTCGTAGCCTGCATCCCCCCTTTGTCGTTAGTTAGGTTAGATACCGTTGAGCGTGTTAGCCACTCACTGTAGTCGTTGTATTCCCAGCCATCATGAGCGCATTGGGCATTGGGAGCATCGTTGATGACACAGGTTCAGGACTGTGGGGCAGTTTTCGCTACAGTTTTCTCGTCTGTAGATGTAAGCCAATGTAAGCCAATGTAAGCATTGGCATGGGCAAATGCATATAGTATTTCACCGGTTTCTCCTTTCGAGCGACTGCTGAGGCACAGGGTCTTATTTAGATTTTTAGATTTTAGATGTGGTGGTGATCACGGTGTGAGAGCTGACAACACTTGATTCCGATTGCTGTATCGCACATCGGTTCAGATTCGGCAGCTTGCGCACCAAGAGGCGGTGGCCAGATGACTGAGGGACTTAAGGCTTAAGGGTCAACCAGTTGTAATTGTAGTTGTAGCTGAAGGCTAGGCTAATCTGTTGAGGACCAAACCCCAAAGCCATGCATCTGTAGCCACCTCCGTCACGTGGCATTCACCGTCTAGTAACTGTAGTCACTGTAGTAACACTGTCGTAACTAATTGTACTTAGTGTTAGTAGCTCAGTAGCTTTGCAAAGTGAAAGTTAGGCAGTTAAGTAGTGAATGACATACTCCCATCGATGTTACTGCAATACTGCAAAACCACACTCAAACTCCAGATGTGTGCCTGCCAGTAAAACGCATTTTCTAATTAGTCAATAGCAGCCCAGCTAAGCCAAGCAGCTCGTCGTCTGAAGACATGCGATGATTCCTCGAGTGTGCTGCCTGTGTTTGAGCTGGTTTGCGTGGTCAGTGGTTTTATCTGGTGCATGTCGAGGCATGAGCCACGAAGTAGATGATTTGTTTGCTGGCTGGGAAGATGATATCAATGAAGTGTTGGCTGAGGGCCCAGAGCATCAGGTGGTCATTGATGCAGTGGCCGATTCCTCATCGGCGCAGCCGCGAAGAAAAAAAGGCCGGCCTGTCGGCTCCACTGGTAGCCGTATGGTGAGGGAGCAGATGCAGCGGCTACAAGCCGAAGAAGCCGAAACCGAGGACGGGGAACCATCAGAACTGGTGCCACGAGCGGAATCGAATGCTGACATTGTCAAACATCTGCAACAGCACAGGGCCCTGAAGGATGCTGTTCAGAAGATGTTTGGCCCCTGGCAATTTCTGCTGAATGTGGGAAGCAGCTTTCAGAGAGTTGTATCGCAGTCGCTGAAAGATTCTGTCGAGATGCTGTCTAAAAAAAAAAAAAAAATTTCATTGTTGAAGGACACACTCGGTGAAGCAGTTTCCAAGGCGTCTTTGTCCCAGATTGTTCAGGGCAGAGCTTTGACTTGCTCTGCCACCGCGTTGGCGAGGTTGGAGAACAGCGGAGAGGACTCGAGCAGGACATCACTGCAGCGTCGCATGGTTCAGTCCGGAGGATTGGCCTTGGAATGTTCTGCTTTGCTTTGCAGTGCTGCGCTTTCGTCTTTCATCGAGGCCTGCAAGAATCCTGTGTCGCAGGGTGTGGGTGTGCGCGGCTTGGAACTGAAGCCATTAATGTTTTGCTGGCGTGTACGCTACGACGAAACTCCAAGCAAAGTCCGAGTGGCAAATTTGCACGACAGCTCGGCAGCCCCTCGGTTGCAGTTTTGCTATTATGAGTATTATGATCGTCATCGTTATCGTTCTGATTATTGATTATTGGTACTTACCTTACTTGCAGTCACTTGAACCTCGATCTGTCTCCAGCCCGAGGCCCCAGCCTCCAGATTGGAGCTTGTGTCATCTTTTGTAGCTTTTGTTCTATGCCTGAACTTAGCTAAACTACCTAACTAAGCCCAATCAACTCAAGGTTTCTGCCGCCATGAAACAATGTGACTCAGGCCTCCCTGGCCGATTTTCCTACCTCCCTTATCCGACTAAGCAATGTCTCCATTACCCACACCCGTGCTTGGCCTGCTTGGCCTGACTTAGCTTTGTTTGGGCATCTTTACAACTTTATGGGTGTCATTCATAATATCAGCACGGCACTTGTACATTGTAACTGTAGCTGCTGGATTACGAGCTCAATCACTGCAGCATTGTATTGTCCGATTATTGTCCTTAAATCCAGTGTTGCTAACGTTTATGCCTTAGTCAAATTTCAGCAAGACAGTCTGCCATATGCCATGTGCAATACCCGAGTGTTTTTCCAAGCACATCGCAGCTATGGTTACGGTTACGGTTACTGTGCGGTGTCACTACCCTCGCTACCCATTGCAGCCCACCCACTACCAGCCACTGCCCCATGCTTGTTGTGACGGCTTGTGACCAAGGCAGAACAGATGGCTGGAAACCACTCCACGGCAGCCACCCACATCGTGTTGCCTAAGGGGTGCAAAGGCTCCGAGTCCATTGAGGCATTTCTGCGTGGATGTGGTGTCAGTTCTCCAGCTGAGAGCGTGACACATGCGAAGGTTTTGCAAATCCAAGTCGATGTCATGTTGGTGTATGGCACCAGCAAATCGGCATCGAGCAACCAAGACAGCAAGGCTACGGCTACAGATGCGAAAGACTTGGTTTCTGTGATGACCTCGATTCCTTGCTGCCTCGCCGCGATGGACCGAACAACGGCAGAGAACCAGCGCTCCTGCATAGCGCAGTGCCTGGATGCACTGCCAGAATGGCAGCGAATCGCTGGTAATTTTGCTGTGAAGATGCGGGTGGTCACGACTGACCGATACGCTGCGAATTACAGGACCGAGAGAGGCCTGCAGATGTATATGTCTGACTTCCAGCTTTTGCATCTGCCCTGCGACGCACACAAAGGTGCGACCTGCGTAAAAGCCTGTTTGGGGGCCGTCGAGTCCGAGGTGTCTGGACTCATCAACAGCTCCTTGGCGCTGGGGGAATTGGGGGTATTGCAGCGCCTTCGCGATCTGCTGACAGCGTTGCTGTTCAACAACCTCGAAATCTACCAGACAGAGCCCCCTCATGATCAGAGCCTCACTGATTACAGAAGAGCGGTTTACGATCGTTTTATGCCACTGCAGGGCGACAAATGTATCCTCAACCAGAAGCGTCGCAAGATTTTGGAAACGATGCTGAATGGCGACTTGCGACAAGCAGAGTTGCAGCACTATTGCCCGCTCGGGGCAATGTGCTGTGCAAATGATACGCAGCAAACAATGTCCAACATGGCGCTGTACGTGAGCTGGGCACTTTTGCCTTGCCAGCAGGCGACCATATCCAGAAAAAACTGGATCGGTCAGACAGATGCCATGAATTGGACTGGAGTCCTTGAGTCGCACCACGGCCTCTACAGCAGGCTGCTCCTCATGTATTTTGGAACTCCGAAAGTCGTCAACCCTTCCCGAGGCCAAGCTGCCACAGAAGCCGCCCCTGTTTCGGACGATGAGGATGGTATGCAAGACTGGAAGCAAGCCTTGATGGACGAGCTGAGCAGCGCTCCCGCTCCGGCCGACCCACAGGTTGTTCCAGAAGTCCATGCAGACGGAGCAGGTCCAGAAGCTGCTCCAGAGGTTGATTTCGCTCAAGCTCAAGCTTCTCGAGACAATGACGATTTATGGAAAGAAATGAAGCAGATGCGGCGGCAATCGGCACAGGCTTATGCTGCTTCCAGACCCTACAATAAGCTGTACATCATGAGCGAGACACTTGGGCCCCTCCATGTGTTCATGTCACAGATCTTGAAAAAGAGCGGTGGCCAGTGGGAGAGCAAGCAGGCTGCGAAACAAGCTCGTGGCGAGCCGCGCACATTCCTGCTGTTGGAAGCAGCACGGCAGCAAGAGGTCCAGCAGGCAATGACTGATCTGTTGGATATTCTTCCAACCACCCCTCTTGGTGCTCATCTGGAGACATTTACGTGTGTTCATCGTGCTTTGAGATTCGCAATGACGGCTTCGGGCATGTGTTCCTTACATGGCCTCATTCGCTTTGCTCGGCAGAATCTGCCGTACCAGGCGTTTCATCTCGTGGCGGAAGATGTCAGTGACGAAAAGCTTTCGGAATGTGCACAGCGGCTGCTGGACACTCCTCGCCTCGTGGCCGCATCAAACTTCAATGCACTCAGGGTTTGTGATTTGTGGCTTGCGGCTTGCGCTGCGTTAGGTACCGTTCGGCTGCAGCTGTGGTTGCTGGTTGCTGTTGCTTGCTATTGCTATTGAATATTGCTGCTGCTGCTGCTGCTGCTTCTTTCTGGATTCTGGCTGCTGTTTTGCTGTCCGGTGCCACACCGGCCCAAGGGCACAAGACCATTTTGTACTGGCACACCTACTTTATGACTTTTGTCCTTTTGGTGCACTGAGACAACAACCGATTTTCCAATATCAGAAGTTTCCCTAGGCAGCCGCCCTAGTCGCCCTAGCCCTAGTCTTTATGGCGGCGCATGGCATAGTCTGCCGACATCCAGCCAGCAAACCACAAACGATAAGTCAGAAACCACAGGTTCTAGGCTTCCAAAACTTCAAGCGGATTCAAGCGGTTGCCACCGGCCACCGTATCCCGTAGACCATAGGCCCTGCCCCGATTTGGTAGGCCCATTCTGTGCCGCTTCGTTTCGCTTCCAAGGATGCCTGTTCGATGAGTTTTGGAATGGTTTCTCCCGCCGCTACCCCAGCAAGTCGGCTCTGCTCAGTGCAGAATGCAGAGGCCTGCTGCAATGCATCGCAGCGATAGCTGCAGTCGACGTGTGCTCGATTGAGTCGAGCCATTCCTCCACACGGGAATTCGCACAGCTGAGAAGCCGGGGATGGACATCCTCGCTGGAAGAGGTAGCGTCGCGTTGGGTCCTTTTGCAACGGAAGCGCCGCAACAAGGGCACCTCATCTGCCGCCAATCGGCAGAACAAGAAGAAGCCACAGCCCGATTCTGCTGAAAAGAAACGGCGCACTGGAACAGTGTCAGCATGGAACGCATTTATGCATTTTCACGGCCGTGGTCTGCCTCCGGATGCAGGTCGGCACTCTGCCAGGCTGAGTGCAATTTTCCGGTCTTTGACAGATGAGGAGAGGCAGAAGTATGTGGCTGCAGCAGAGGGGGGATCGGCTGCAGTGCGCATGGGCTTCCCTGCTTTTGCAACTGCGAAAACGAGCAAGGAGAAACGTCAAGAGAAGCGGCATAAGTCCTCGCAGCGAGGTGTGTCTGCCGGGCATAGCCTTGCAGCTCCTATGTTGCTTCCTGGGCAGCAGGTGCCAGGACCTGCTGGAGGTGCTATTGTGGCAGTGCCTCCGGCCCACCTGGATGTCGTGGGTGGTCAAGTCACGCAGCATCTCCGACAGACTTTTCCAGATCTTTATCAGGAGTTCCTTGCAGGTCTGAAGAAGCCAGAAGATGAATTGGACTTGAACGAACAGGAACTTGATTCTCTTTGTAAATTCAGGGCCACAGTGGATTTCCTTGATGTGCCAGTGGCGAAGACATGGGAACGAGATGGTCATTCCCAGCTGCGACAGAATTTGTCGGCCCATCCTGTGTCCAGTTTGGTGCGTGGTCTTGTGTGGAATCCGCCCACAGAGAAGGCCGTCGAGGCAGGTGGGCTGTGTCCGGTGTGTCTGGGCTTGGACGGCTTGGTCGGTTTCAGTTGCACATGAACCTGAAGCTGCAGGAAGTAATTAAGTAACAGTAAAATCAACAAGTGTCACAGTGTAACAAGTGCTTAATAATATAACACAGAAATCACAGGCACTCCGTATCTGTAGACTGTAGACTCTAGCCGCTCTGGCCGTAGCTGTAGCCGTCCTAGCTTCAGTAGCCATAAAACATGAAAGTACTCAGTAGCGGTAGCAGGCATCAGTAGCCGTATCCATATCCGTATCCTGCCTTTCTATTTAATTGAGTAACACAATGTTTAACAGTCGCTCAGTAGCAGTAACTTTCAGTAAGACAGTAAGAGGGACAGTAACAGTAACAGTATAGCACTTCAGTGTCATTGTACCTCCAACACTGCAAAAGGCAATGGTGGACGTCAGATCAAATCCCGGATTTAGGCGATCTTTTTGCAGTTGGTCTTGCAATGTCCTATGGTAGTGTTCACGGGGGATTGCTAGCTAGCTGTCAGCTACTTAGCCACTGCTATAATGTCGATGTCATTCACATTTCGTTCCTCTTTTGGGTTCCTTGGAGGCTATGCTTTGCAAAGAGACGGTGGGAGTTCGGAAGAAGTATGGTTTGCAGACGAGACAAGCCAGAAGCTGGTCGAAAAGATGCAGTGTGCATGTGCATGATCGGCAGCCGCCGATCAAAGCAAGTGACATGAAGGATGATTTCAAGCCGGCCGTTTGCCACCGCCTTGGCATGTGTGTGTGTGGCCACTCAGAGGGGTCCACCCCGGACGTGCTTTCGTTTTGGAACAACCTGGAACCATGGCTGAGGGCTACTTTGGCAAAACCCAAAAAGGGAGAGTATTCCAAAGCTCGCAAGATGATGCAAGATCAACTGTTAGTGTTTTCTTTCACTTCCGGCCCTGCTTGGGATGCAAACACGGAACGTCCTTCCGAGCCTGCCGAAGATGTCGAGGATGTGGTGCATTATGTTTATCCTGCATACACAAATTTTCAGTCTTTTCACTTTACTTGCCTCCGGTTGTATGCTGAGTTGCAGACAGTATTGGGACTTTCGACAGAAGGAATCCCTGACCTTCCCGGTGTCGTGCATGTCGGCTGCAAAAATTCGCAGCAAGTCGACTCCGACCATGAAGTCTTCAACGATTTGGAGTTCGTGCGCGCGGCCCTGGACCTGTCTCGTGCTTGGCAAGTCAAACTGCTCGGCATTTCTTTGTCTGAAAGCCACTGGCCCCCCGACAGCCAGGCATCTAATGTTCTGCCGCTCATAGATGCCACTGAGACGTGTGAAGTGCCGGCCGTCTGGATTTGGCGCGGATCTGAATATGAAGCCCACTCCCGGCAGAGGAAGGCAACGAATCGGAAGAGGAGTGGGAGTGCTGCAGGGATCGGGCGTGGCAGGGGACGCGGTGCTGGCCGTGCCAGCAAGCGTGCTCGAGGCCGAGGGCGAGCTGGGCATGTTGCTGATGGCGGGCCTGGAGACCTTGCCGATGATGTCGCAGAGGATACTCAAGCTGAGGCGCCTCGTCCTTATGAGGTGCCGGATGAGTCTGAGAAGGCGGATGTCAGTGAAGATGATGGAGGTGGCGTTGGTTTCATAGACCCTGGTGACGGTGACATGGTCGGGTTGGCTTTGTCCCAGTCCGAATGCTCGGACGTGCCATCCTTGGATGCGGAAAGGGCTGGTGACGAGGCTTCTGAAATGGGAGACGACGAAGGCAATAAGGATTTTCTTGATGAAATTCAAGCCCTCGAAACTGCCGAAGCTGCGACAGCAGCTGTGCTGAGCAGCAGTTCGCCCGGTGCGAGGGCTGCCGGGGCGAAGGATGTGGAAGCTGACATTGACGACCTTTATCAGCAAATCTTTGAGGAGGCAAGCATGCCCCCTGCTGGTGCGGAAGCCGCCGTAGCGCCAGTTGTGCCAGCATCTGGATCAAGGCCAGCGAGGCACGAGTCACGGGTGGGGTGGGTGAGAGCGAGTCAGTTCAGAGTCGGTGGGAATCAGCAGTGAGTTGTGCGCAACAGAACCATGGATGCTCTGAATGTGTTCCCTGTTAGTTATTATTAGTGAAGTTATAGTTGCAGTTACACATACAGTCTACACTTGACTGAATGATTGAACGATTATTTAATTACTGTTAGTTAGTTGGATTGTTGCGTTATTGTTAGTGCTGTTAGTGTTACAGTGTTACAGTGATTTTACAGTGCAACCTTTCCAGCCTTTCCACAAATCACAAGTCAGGAAGCAGTGTAAAATGTCAAATGAGTCAAATGATATGTGAATGAGTCCAAACGTTTAAACTGGAGCTTCATCTTGCGCAATGTAGTGCCCACTTCAGCCTTAAGCCAGCCTAGGGCTTAAACCTGAGGCTAGTGGCCTAAGCTCGACGTGTTCTTGTGCAGGCCTGATCGACCAGATTATGACGAGGCACAGCCATTAGCGGCATTAGCGGCACGGGAAGGAGGCGATGCAGCACATGCCCTTGCACATGAGCGGCGACCAGATTTCTCCAAGGATGAACTCCTTCTGCCAAGTGGAGCGAGACTACGTCATTACCCTCACCTGCGTCAAATGGTGGCCGTATGTGGCAACCCGAACCACTCGGATTGCCGAATGCTCCGAACACTAGCTCCGTTTGCAAAAGCTACTAAGCCTGGCAGCAAAACAGCCGGGCAGGGACGCCCCCTGGGCTTATTAACAGCCTGGTTGGCGGGACAGTGGGATGCAAATTCGCATCAGGAACACATTGGTTACAAGCCTGATCTCCGGAGCAGGGAAACGGCTCGCACAGACTTGGCGGCCATAGAAGGATCCGCGGGCTTTTTTGCTTTGGAACGACCTCGCAGGGATGGCGAACCCGAGGAGCCGCCCAACATCAGATGACGAGAGTCATAGTCACCGCTTGTCACTTGCGAGTTGTGCCAAAAGGCCACATCCAACATCATGCTCTAGTTCACATTCCTCACAGTCCCAGCATAGGCAACTGTACCAGGTACCAGGTAATTACCACTGCAGCCGCAATTTTAATCTTGAAGTGATTGAAGTGCTGAGCCTGAAGCCTGAAGCAACCATGGGCCCACGAGATTTTGTTGCTTAAAGCCTCCGTGGTAAGGCCGGCGGCTTGCACACTGCAGTTTCCGTTAGCTTGCTTATCGACTTGTCGTGTGCTACATTATAATTTTCCTTGTTTGCTTGGACGGTCTATGAGTCTATGCCTCACTGTATGCTGTATGCCGTATGCACAGCACTGAAAGCGTGGTTTGTCTGAAAGATTGTGTGGAAGGCCGAGATCTTAGGTGACTTTGCAACTTTGGCGGCTTCTGGGGTTTGAGTCGGTTTGAGGTCTTCGAATGCCATACCCCCCAATCATTTCCCGCATTGCAGTGGCCGCGACTCTATTTCTGTCTTTAGTATGTGCAAGATAATGTTGCAGCCCACTGCAACCTGCAACCCGTGCACGAATGTCCCGAAGAAGCAGGCTAGATAACTTGAGGATGTTGACTGTTTGTTCCGGTTCAGGGAATATTTTGTGATCTTTGTGTAAGACTACAAGACAACAATCCATTGCAGACCCTGCCCTTGCCCTGCTGTTACAAACTACAAACATTTTCAGGCCCTTCTTCCACAACCTCGCCCAAACACCCAGTCCACAAAAAACCATGCCGTGAGTACACTTACTAAGTTCTTAGTTACTATACTTAGTACACAGTTGCCCCGCGCAGGCTCTACTTGGTTTTCTTCCGCAAAGATCACTTCAGCAAGAGCTTTGTCAGTGCTTACAAGCAGTCGGTGGAGGTGCCTGGCATTGTTTCGGTTCAAATGCGGCCAAGTGTATTGCTTTGCTCGAGTAGACTCAGTAGACTGAGTAGACTCGACTTGAGTAGACTAGACTGAGAGAGCTTGCTGTGGGTTCACTGGCACATGCACACATCTTCCCGAGTCTTGCCAGGAATTGCTTGCGGCCGTTGAAGCTCGTCACCAGCCGCGGGCATTGACGACTTTCATGCTCCACGAGAATAGCCCGCTGTATGTGCAGCAGGCTGCTTTGTATGTGGAAGAGCGAGGCAAGCCGAGAGAGAATGAGGCCTGATGTGTGGATTGTTGCTCCCTTTGTTTGTTCCTGGGTTGGGTTTATGCCTGTATTAAGTGTGTGTTGCCATGTGCTCTGCGGCTCAGCCGAACAGAAGAATCTGGACTGTGAATTCCGTGCCGTTGTTGTAGGTATTCGTGCAAAAGATTAGCACAGTGAAGCCAGCCGGGTTGGTCATCAGTGATGTGTTAGTCTTGATAATTTAGTAGCCTTGGTGCCTTCGTAGCCTTAGTAGTATCATTACTCACTACTCATACCATGTCATACCGTGCCACATGCACCTAGAACTTCGAATGTTAATCCTGACACTGCTACTAATCTAATACAGATACTCATAGTTACTCAGTTACTCTAATATTTCGAATAGTAACACTATCACTATCACTTTAGGCTAATATTAACCCACATGTTAAAACACGTGTTTGTATATATTCAACACAATTCCATAATTACAGAACGAATACGAATGCTGAAATTCAATATCTATATTAATATTCATGACAACTCTGACTCGCACTAACATAAATGCTAAGACTGATAACAGTTTTGCACATATTTATTGTTCTCATTATCGCTACTGCTGCTACCATATTTATATTACTCTTACTCAGTCTTACTCATAGTCATACTCGTATTCTTACTATTATTACTATTACTATTTCTACTGTTAGTATGACTGCAGACTACTACTATTTATTTACCATTGTTACTTTTGTTTAGTGCTACTGCTCTGACTAGTATTATCGCCTTCACCGTTATTGTGCTCATATCTGCCACCACTCCTGCTCCACTACTAGGACTGCTGCTACCACTACTCCTGCTAGTACTACTACTCTATGAATACGACTAGTACTATTACTATTTCTTCTTCTTTCCATACTACTACTATTACTATTACTACTACTACTACTACTACTACTGCTACTACTACTACTACTA